TGACTGTAATGGATGAGAGGTACAGAGTAGATGTTGTGGGGCTATGAGGAAATTTTAATTTTTGTTATAGGGGGTGCAAGGACATCTTAAAGGTTCTTGTAGGGGTGTGTGCGAGAATCACTGCTCTGTGTTATGAGATCGTTCACAGCTGACCTTATCATCGCTACTGCGGCTTTGTGAAGTTGTTTCAGATGATCTGAAAATTTTGGCTCAAACTATGTGGTGCATAAATTTTCAACTGGATTACAATCATTTGCAGGTGATCTCTTGGTTGTATTTTCAAAGCAGTCAACGCACTCACGGGCAACCCACCTGATTCGCTTGACGCAAATTAATGTAAACGGTGATAATTGAGAAGACAGTAATGAAGATAAAACCAATTATGGAATATGGTTGCAATGTTGTACCCACACGTACTATTTCGTCTTGAGCATACGACAACGAATATATGAGTGGTCGTATAAATGAATTATTGTAACCGCTGAAAGTTATCAATATGCTGACCTTGCAGGGGAATTTAGAGGAGAAAAGTTTTTGATGACAACTTTGCGTTTATTCTGCATTCGAAAATGAATTGCAAACGATCAAACATTGATTGCGCACTGATCGCAAAAGAAATTGTCAGATATGGACACTTAAAATCTGCAAATTTCAAATTTTTTTGCATCTTTTCAAAACTATCCTCTTTTTCATGAGACCATAACGATGCGCACACTTTGTCGCTAACAGGTTTTCATTATGGAACGTGTTAATGCAATTGATACTATGAACTTGGCACTTTGATTGAGAACGATACGAACTGATAAGAGGCGATAGCAATTTCAACGAAATGCAGTGCTTACTTCAAATAAAAGTTCGAGATACTTCTGTCCCACCGTCGAACGTCGGTATCATCCCACTGATCAGGTTGTTCGGCTCTGAACATCAGTAAAACCATTTGAAGATGTTTTATGTTCGAAAGCGTTTTGTTGCTCATTTCACTTTCACGATACGTTTCCACACCGAAGAAATGCATTGTCAAATCATAATCGAATCCGAGACTGTTTGATATTGGATACGACAAGTTGGTGATAGAATCCGTTAGCAATTCACCATTTTCCACTGCCGCACTCTTGATTATCAATGCATTCTAAATTTATTTCTCATCACTGAACGAATTTCTTCTGAATATATTCGCAAGTTGAATAAAATGCTGCTATTTCATTTAACCGGAATATCAAACGATCGCGTCATTCTGAAATGATGCACCCATAAAATCTGAGAATTGAACGTTTCAAGAGCCGAGGTTGAATTTTTACGTTTCCCAATTTTGTAAAAAATGAAAAAAGATAATTTATTTTATCGTTAATTTTTCTCGTTTCACCAGAGTGGAACATTTCTCATCAGTTTTTTCGAAGGGTTATGCATTGATCATGGGAATGGCATGCTTTTCTTCTGTTTCCATTTTAATCCAATTTTCTGGATGCTTTTGCTAATTTTCCAATCATGGAACATCACACTGAATAATAGTGGTCTTTTTTTGACACTGAACGAACAAACAAACCCGATACTGTACGACAGCCTCGTTAATATCGCAAAAGTTTTCACATATTTGTGCAAATGTGATATCTTTTACAGCGAATTGGTGATTGATTTGTTGAATAATTTCAACAGTTGCATTCAAATGCTCTATTCGATTCATCGAACCACCGTCTCTAGCTAATATCAAGATGAATGTCCATATAGGTTCGTGACCACTGTTAAAGTTTTTGTACGCTTCAATCTCTTTGAATGCTCGCACATCAGATGGCGAAAATCCGGTAGGAGAATGATCTTCAATACCTGTCAAAGCGAATTTTGTCGAAAAAATTACTGTTGCCAACATCACAATCTGCAATAAGCGTTNTGTCTTCATCGAGAACGGATCCATTTTGCATTGAGATGTACGCTCTTTATCATTGCAATTTTCTTTTTGTGCATTCAAATGAACGATGCTCGAAAGCGATGCTAAATTGAGTAATGAAACTAACACAGATAACTACTGACGGACGGTCAGCTACCATAATTCCAATCCATCGAAAGAATTTGTTCAAAGCGTTAACAAAACTTGAGGTATGCATTGTGGATCATTGATTGCCTTTAATCACTTGTCTATCCAGTGTGGGTTTTGTCTTCAAGATGGCAACAATTGGAAATTAGCAATAGCTCTAGTCGAGCACGAACGATAATGTACAACACCACGCATAACAACACACTGATTTAACATGTTCTGTCCTATTCATCAGTGGCATGGTCCTTTCAGGGACACAACGAATATACGCCAAGACAGATAGATAGATGCCCATGCATTTTTATAAGTGTAAATTCGTTACGACGGAATAATCAATCATTAGAAATCGCATCAAAATAATGTAGGGTATTCATGGGAAATCATATTCTCATCAATAACGAATAGAATCAAAACCGAAAACGACAATACAAAATGAGGACATTTTCTCATAATCATATGCATAAAATAAGTCATTTCAATAGCGGATTACGACCGTCCTCTATCTCGCATAATGTCATTTTGCTCTCTCAAAACTAGCAGTTCAGCTTGACGCTATTATGGCTCGGCTCGGTGTGAATTGCCAGCTACAAAATGAAATAATCAGTGAATTGAGGCATTGTTGTCGATGAACTTTGCACCGCATCACATTGGATAATTCTGGAAACGACAACTGAACAACGGAAACGACTAAATGAGAAATGAACAGTGCGGAGAAATTGATGTGGTGCATCTGATTAAAAAACATCATCTTGAAGAACGCCTTGAACATACGTGCGATCTCGATTTGGAATCATTTATTTTATAGTAATCCGTTGGGGCGTGTCTCAATAATAAGATGAAATAGTGCAATTCAAAGTACACACACACAGTTAATAGTGAAGAGAAGCTGAGAACGTCTGCGCAAAAGTATTATCAGATACAAAATGCAGTATTGATAAATGGTAATTTGAGCATGTTTCTGTTGGTTAGAAGCCGGTAAACGAAGCGAAATTTATTTGCGGCTTTCATACAATAATTAAGTTACGTTGAGAGGATGATGTCATTTGTTCAAGTAAGTTGAAGAGTTTTTGTGCGTTTTTGTAATTGAAGAAACGAGACTGAGCAAAAGCATCATAGATTGAATTTGCACTATGATGCACATTTAAGACGTTAATGTAACAACAATTCATCAATTGACAACTTTAACATAAAACCAAAAACACTGGTAACAGTTCATTAACCNGATGTCAACTCGAATAATTTTCTGATGTCAACAGGAATATTTTTTTAATTTTTCCAATGTGTTTCAGACTTTCACATGTACAGAACACAGTGATTCGATTGAATCATCTGAGAGTGTTTCCTTCTCGATAGTGTGCGGTGCCGGAATAAGCTGTATCGATACCGGGAAAAACTCTTATCGCTGAAGCAAGCGCAAAACTTTTGAATACTGTCAAAGAATGTTTAAGAGAAGAAGAAACGACAGTGTGAAAGGTTAGTTTTAGACATTATGCAACAAGTATCGTAGTGCTTGAAAGATGATGTTATCGAAATGTTATGCATTACTTGAAGCCTTAAATTTTTATGCAATAGAGAACTCCAGTTTACAGTCTCTCTCAACAACAGTCTGGTCATGTAACGTTGGAGATTACTGCAAATTGAATGATGTCGCAAAATTTCATCAGTTTGCTCATTCATTTTTTGGTGATGAAATAATCGCTGAGTTGGATTGGACGTCAACGACAATGTCCCGCTGAGAGTGAGTTGATTTTTTGATCTTCAAGCAATCTGATTGATTTTTTTTANCGTCAACGACAATGTCCCGCTGAGAGTGAGTTGATTTTTTGATCTTCAAGCAATCTGATTGATTTTTTTTAATGTTCAAGTGATATGAACCCGTTTTTGCAATTAACTCATTTGTAAAATACAGTCTGTTCAATTTTTTTACGGGAACATTGTTCCAGCTAATCAATCACTTTCATAGCTAAAGAGCTTATCGAACAGATCGTAGTAGAAGATGCTGTTTTAGATCTCATAAGAAGAAACTGGCTTAGATGTCACAAGGACAAACTGGTTCAGTGGGTACAGTTTTCTTTGCACTTATTAAAAATGTTCAAAACTTACATGAACCATTATCACGCAACTCTCTCTATCAGAACGTGACCGATCAATCTACCTAAAGACATTTCGCCTAACGGACAGTTTGCCTAACGGTATTTCCCTCTGAACCAGTTTGTCTATTAGGAGAAATATCCATTAAAAAACCGTAAGTTAGGCAAACTGTCCACCAGACAAACTGTCGTTAGGCAAAATGTCTTCAGNAAACTGTCGTTAGGCAAAATGTCTTCAGGAAGATTAACCGGGTACCCTATCAGAACTGCAGAGTAGCGATATGTGTTGAAATTGATAATTCATAAAAAAGGAGGTTTGCAAGAAAATGCCATGTAAAATTTCTGATGAATACAGCACACTGTTGAAAATATATGGAATAGACAAACGTTAAATTTGCTAGGATGACGCCAGAATGAAAATAAAGAAGAAATCGCATAAGCGTAAGTTGTGAATGTTGATAAACATTCAAAATTGTTTTCATAACGCATAAAATTCATCAGATATGGGTGAAACGAATTGCTTACAACAAAATCAAATAGAATAGTTGATCATACATACGTCTCGCAAGCATTGTCAGTCTTGTTATTATTGCCTAGTATTAATATCACTATTGGTTAAGGGGTTAATTTGAAGTGAATGATTGGTATTCGAAGAATAGTCTGTATTGTCGTATCATGCTTAAGCTTCACGAATCCATTATTCAATGTAATTACCCGACCTTGAGATAAGTGATTACAACACAATAGTCATTACTTGTTTTCTCTGACAACCATATTTATTCGTCAAGGAACTTTTACTTGATTGACATTTTCATGACTGACATTTCGATTTGTTCGTGTTCACACGCACAAAGCTCTGCTCACTTGTGAATGTTTTTTGCTCTGCAGGTAAAACGTTCCTCATATTCCTGTTTCCATGCTTAGAAATACCGTACACTGTCGAAATGATTCACAAGTTTCTCAAGAAATCGTCGATCACCAATGAAATCTTTCTTGTCTAATACATGATCAGATGGATGACCTGAATTTTACTTATGTCATATCAGTTACGATGAGAGTTCGGCAATTGTGTTCAGCGTATTCACCATCGAATTGCATCCAATTCAGAATACTGCACTCATCGTACAAAGAAAGCAATACTACAAACAATAAGCATTATATGGACATTCAACAGTCCTAGTGCAACTTTTTATAATTCATTGCTGTCTCCACCACGCACTCATCATCATCGATACAGGGAAAGGAAAAAGTGGAACTTTTATACACTCATTATTATACACCAAGAAATTCATTTTGGAAAGCTGTCAATAATCAGACAATACATCGAGGATCACAACTGGAGGCGTTCATCTGTTTTCAATTTAACCATTCGTAAGATTCATCTGCTAGGTATATGTTGATCTTGATGCCAATGCTTGTAGTCGTTGTGGTTTGCGGAATTGTGTTAATGAGTTATCGTATATGTCGTCTGTGTAGACAACACCACTGAAGAGTCCATCTAAAGTCGACTTGTTCGATGCAGACAAACCGTTTCGATTATCTGAAAGAATTTGCTAGTGCAACGATCATTTGTATCGTAATAGAGCATCAATTCCATTGATGAATGAGTTGAACAACACGCTCTTGATGACTGCTCATCATTCTGTAATTAATCGAAATGATATTTGAATTACGATCCGAGCAACCAGTTCATCTCTGTTGACAAACAAATTAAATATACAGCCAGAGTAGGTTAGTTCAGTTGGATGAAATGTGGACGAGGTGATGAACAACTGAGTGTTCTGAAGGGAATTCNACTTTATATATTCCACATCTGACTCGTCCATTTCAGCAATATGAATGTCATAATTCACGATTCATTTGATTGGTAATTTGAATATAGTTATTCTGCGAATGAACCGAGTCATGTCTGTAGATAACGAACAATTCGATCATTACCGATTAAACGATGCCGATCAGCCTTATATTTATTGACGAGATTATTCGCGTTGAACTGTTTGAAATAAGTGTTTGCTATGTTCTCTTCTTCGCTTTTTGCCAATCGCTGTAATTCGTCATTTATTACAGAAAACATTGAACTTTGAGAGATGAAACCACTGACGCTTGTTGACCAGAAATGTTTATCATTGCTGGTCTAAAAAATTGTATGGAAAGTGCAACGAGAAACCTGCTTGAGTTTTGGCACTTCATCGTTCACATCAAATCGACATCCATGACTGTCATCAGCATTTACAGCAATCACTCAAAGATAACGAAAGTCTCAATCGAATCATTATCAACATTCAGTTTTTATTCAATTTTTTCTGCTCTTTTCAACAGGGTTTCCAATATTGATGAATAAATTTATTGATTTAATAACTTCATCTGACCCCCGATTCCATGTGTTTCAAATTAAAACAGTTGACCGCATAAATCAAGCGGGGAACCTCTTTGCAAATGAAAAATGTTGCTACAGTTCACCTGGAGTCGCGCTTGGAAGGGTCGTTTTTGTGAAGAATAATTCTGGTAGAATCCATTTCCCTTGATCTTCATTCCAGGCTGCATCTTTTTTCACTCTGTCCAAATTGTGATAATTGCAATCTCGTTTGACAATTGGATGAATCTGAACGCTTAGTCGGTAACGATACGATCTCAAGGAATCAGTGTAAAAACAACCCTTCATAAAAAAATTGTGTTGATAAACGAACGATAAATTGGAACAGTGTGGCTCAATTTTTTGTCTGCCTTAATAATTTTCGGCTCGTATTTAAGCCACAGACAATAAAAGAGCTAAAATGAGAGTCAAACAAACTTCTCAATATAACCAAAATATTCACATCCGATCACTAATCTATATCGCTGACCATCACCTATACGTCGCCTTTATTATTGGAATCAAAAGCTTTGCTGCTATCAGTATCATGACTACACTATAGTTGGTTGTAGCAACTGACCGCATTTATAGATTGAACATTTGAATCAGTGCAATTCATCATTTGAATCAGCAAAAACCTAATTATTTCTCACAATTAGTCATTGATCGTCTCATTTCATCAGCAGGGTAAATGTCTCATTTCATCAGCAGGGTATCATTCTGGTGAATAGTGGACGCATAACGTTGTGCAAGTCATTAGTTGAAAAGCTACCCTACGCAGAGGCTTCATTAGCATTACACGGACTTTTGCTGATTGCTTGCGATGAAGCTTTCACTGTTTACTCGCTGATTACGTTATTGGTTTTGACGCGTAGCAAAAGAATGCCAAACCTTATCTAAAATTTGTTGCAAAAGTTTGATCTGTTGATCTTGTTTCCGAATTGTTTCCAAATAATCCAATCGATCCAATTCGAATTCTCCGTGCAAGTCCTCGATTTCACTCTCTAGCGATTTCACCTGAACAATTTATCGACTACAGTTAACATCTCAGAAGCAATGTTGTAGCTTTCGTGCTGTTAGTGCTATCAGCCGTTTTCTGATTTTTGATTGAACAGCACATGAACATTGATTCTTAATGACTCCACTTAGATCAGTGGTTATCACGTTCGAATGCTTCATTACCCCTTTTAATGATCTAGCAGGCCATTGTTACCGCCCCCAACCGGATACAAAAACTTTCTATTTCTACGTATAACATCAGGAATAAATGGGGAACTGGTCCGGAAATTTCGCAGCAGTCTGAAAGAAATTAATGTCCTGGAACGTTGTGTTGCTCGTTCCTGCAATCGATTATGATTGCATGAAAACTAATGTCTATGTCACACCCACTTTAACCTAATTTAGATGGATTCTCATTCTTTCAGATGTGTTGTATTCACACTCTAGCTATTTCTCTTGATGGCTTTTTCTCGTTCTCTTCGTTTCATTTGACTTCACACTTCAAATCAATTTCTTATTCTGCAGCATATACTATTTACTGCATACGGTTGACGAATGTTGGCAACCGAAATCAACAATGCAACAATCGAATATTATTGCTCAACATCGTTCGAGAGTCGAATGATCAATTATAGAGTGCATTTGACAGAATGAGAATTTGTCTTTAACTGTTGGGTGAAATGAATGAGAAATTGGCAAAAGAGAACATTTTTAGTGATAAAAGCTATGAGAGCGATCGTAACAGCATGGAAAAGAATAAAAACCCTGTTTGGCCCGGACGAGCTAATGATAAGCAGAAAATAGGAAAACGAAGAATGTTGCCATCAACTAACCGCATTTACACACCCGAGTCAAAAAACACCATCACAATGGCGTTCAATCATAAAATAACATTTGCACGAAGTACTAATTTCTCCTCCATTACCCATTGACACCTCCAAATTACCCAAAATGGGTAATTTTACCGCCTATGGAGAATCACTGATTTAGGTGATTGAGTGAAGAATACCTTTCGTTTTTGTTTATCAAACAATGCTGTCACTGCTTCCAGTTTCTCCTGTGTTGAATTGTAAACATGCAACAAGGGATCATCCGAGTGAACGTTGAGTGCAGCTGTAAGAGAAATGAATAAGACGAGATCGAGATGACTGCAAGCGTTCCGAATGCTCGAAGGCATCATTCGGCTACGAAACACCTTTCGAGACAAATTTGGAGAGCTGATCGGAATGATACAACCTCGACNATGAAGAGGAGTTATCTCAGAATGAATTCATTCCAAATCTCACGATTAATATGGATATACAGGTGTGAGTGAAAAGGACTTGATTGATGGGATAATGCATTTAAAGTATAAATTTGCAACTTTTCAAATCAACCTGCAAGCCTTTGCATTTTCTTCTCAGCATCACGCATTTTTTGTTGTCGTTCCTTTTTCAACACCTCATTATTGGCCTATTAAAAAATTCAGTTCATGAATTTATCGGAAACCACTACAAAATATCAAATTCTTGCTCACTCAACAGATCTCTGTGGGCCAATCTTTATAAATCAATCGCCCGATAAGATCAACTTTTCAGAGGAAAAAAGATTTTCTTACAAATTTTTACAGGAATGGAAAACGGCTTGCGAGAAAAATACACTTCCAAGCAATCAGCAGAAATTAGTACACTGACTCACTTGTTCACCACCAACGAACTGTTTTTCGAGTAGCTGTAATCGTTTTTGTAATTCGTCTTTGTCCAAATTGTTATCATTTTCCAACGCTTCAACCGCTTGCTCGTATTGTTTCTTCAGCAGAACGTACTCCTCTTGTAACTTCGCTTTACTTTTTTGTTCGTTTTGATACTGATTACGAAGTTCGTTTAAAGCCTTCTGGTATTCCTCTTTCAGTCGTTCATGTTCCATTTTCAACGTTTGCGAATCACCACTTTCCGTTGGTGTGCCTTGAAAATTACAATTATCACTCTCATTTCATTGATACTCCATTTATCTTCGTATCTTATATAATGTTTTTGTGCACACTCCATATAACGGGAGTAAGTCATTATTTGGAACTATTTATTCGAATTATTGCTTGAGTAGCATTAAGGTCAGCTATCACGAAATATAGTAGGTGGTATGTCGAAGAAAACTTCCAGTTGTGTGCATAAAATGCTGGATTGAAGAGTAGTTCACCAACCGGGTTGAATCATTGCTTTTAACCTTTGAATTTCTTCTTGATATTCTCTCAGCAACGCATCTTTTGGGTCTTCATTTATTTTTGGCTTATTCTTGATGTTCTTAGCACGATTCGCATACCTAAATTTTTGTCACTTCAACTAATCAAGAAATATTATAGCTCATTAAATGGACGCCTTCATAATAGAGTAGAGTTTAAATTGAAGAATACATCCAAGTGAGTTATTTTTTCAAGCTGAGCATTTCATAAGAACTGAAAAACATATGATCGTAATTTACTATTGAGCAGAATGTTGCAATCAGCAAAATAATTGTGGAATGTTGTCCTATCCCAATCAGCAAAATGATCACCACAATTCATATCAATCAGTCCATATGGATCAAGACATCA